TCAGCAGGAGCTAACGATGCTTCCTGACCCACTCTCTCCAGCAACTGAACACTGGAAGCACTATGTAAATGATGATGATGATGACATTTGGATACTAAAATATGATCCACCAGCTGCTTCGAGAGTGGGATCCAGAGAGGCAGCACAAAAATGCCTTAAATAAAATAATATATAAATAAATAGGCCCACTCCTTAAATATCACAGTAAAGCCCTGTTAAGCAGCACTCTTTGGGAATGAGGGATTGGTTAACAAAGCTTCTACCAGGCGGCACTGGCAAATGGGCAGCTGCGCCAGATGGGTGGTGGTCATGTCTTGGGACACAGTTGACGTAGCTCTTTTCACTGTCGCCTGCTCAGTGCTGTTCCTGCTGCTCAGCAGCAGCACTAAGTAGATAGCACTGGGTGAGTCCTGACCAAGTCCCACTTGGCACTGACCACCACCCACTGCTTGCTACCACCAGGTGGTGTCTTCTGGCCAGCAGCAACAATGCCGAGATCGAAGCAACCATGCCCAGGACCTGGTGGGTCCTGGGCACTGTTCCCTCTAAGTTGTGCATGTGAGTGGCCGCTCATTAACACAGGAAGCCCTGCTCAGCAGCAATCTGGACCCACGCTGGGTCTTGCACTGTCCACTGCCCATTTTAAGATTATAGCAGTTATATTCTGCTCAGGATGTGAACTGCTCTGCTCAGTAGGGGGAAAAGTTAGAGGGAACATTGGTCCTGGTCATACCGGTTAACCGAGTTTTCGAGTTAACAAAAACTTTTTTACTGTATTTGAAAGCATTTCCCATTAACCCACATACTAATTATATCAGCTTAGGTAACTAGATCATTTAGTTCTAACTGAAAGTGAATACACATATGACTAAAAACACCCTCCCATTCAAATTAAAGTGGCCTTTCGTACACAACACAAAACATGTAGGATCAAGAAAGTACAATAGACACTGTGGTTCAGACATTATGTGTTAGAATTTTTTTAAACCAAAACTCAGTCTGAATTGTATGAAATAAAGTGCCAAATGCACTTCTGAAAACTCTTAAATTGGAACCTTAATGACACATTCTGGATTTACCCTACGATGGTATGAGGACTCATTCACCATCAACCATTGGAGGACTGATGCTAAGTTCACTAGCCCACAAACCAGCCCCATTTGTAGGCAACTCGCCACATATAACAACCGGTGGAGAGTATTCCCATCAAAAGATGCAGACGCCCTGTTCAGTGGGACCCTGACTCAAGGCATGGCGAAGGTGGCTTGCTGGAACAGGGTAACTGTTTGGAAACAGAATCCACTGAAATCAGTGGCATTTTCTGAACACACTTTGGACTGCGGTGTTACGTCCCAATACTACGTGAAGCGATGAAGGCAGCAAACGAGACCCTTTCGGAACAGACTTTCTGTCTCGAAATTTCTGCAAAACCCTCACTGAACATTATCATCCCCAAGATTTGGAAAAGCCCTTGCGTTTTGATGCCTGAGCTTTAAACTGTCATTAGAACCTTAAGATTAGACTGAAACTTAACAAATACTTAAAAAAAAATAGACCCAAAGAAACATCTTATTGTCACCAACTTACTCTTTGGGGAATGGGATGGGTTGAAGCAAACTGGCAAGAGCGGGTCTCCAGTCATCATAGTTTGATCTAAAATGAGAAAAGAAGAGACGCAATTAGTCTAAATATATGGTGCAGAAATCACAGGTTGCTTATCTGCTGTTAAAATTCTCTAGACCTGGACAGTCTATTACATACAGTGGATGTCAGGGCAAGAAGAGGACCCGTAACCAGTGCAAAATTCCACTGCTCTGCTCCTTTATGGGGCATGGCGCTCCTTACGTTGCACAGAACCTTCAGGAGTAGGTTCCTTGCATACAGACAGCAAACTTCTACACGGGAGCTCGAGAGGTTGCAGAACGAGGGTGTGCTACATTTTTCAGTGGGAGAATGGAAATTTTCTGCCTCCCCCCTTCCTACTGCAACCCACTGATCTCCACAGAATGGTTCTCCTTTGGGACTGGGGACCCTGAGGAACGACGTAAGGGGGGGTGTTAAGCAGCAGGAAGGGGGAATCAGTGGAAATTCCTAACACAGTCTGGATGCAACCCAACATGTGTTTACGTCTTTATGCTGACTAAAAGAAAGAAAATGAATGAAACCCTCATCCAGAACAAAACTGACAAAAGGAGGAATCAATATATCAAACTGTTTTATAATGCAGCACTGGCTTAAAACCGAGCCAATAAGACTAGCTCACTGCCTCTACGGCTGAGCTTCTGAATTCTGAACAAACTGAGGATGAACCCTCCCAACACAAGCAGCCAATTATTGCATGTTTATTGTTCACTTTTATTTAAAATATTTTGTATACTGCCTTTTCACCCAACTCAAACAACTTAAAACAAATAAAACATATAAACACATCATACTAATAAACATATAACACATATAAACATATAAACACATCATACTAATAAGGAGCTGTCTCTAGTTCCAGCTCCTGCCAACCTAGCAGTTCGAAAGCAAGAAATTGCAAGTAGATAAATAGGGACCACTTCGGTGGGAAGGTAACAGCGTTCCGTGCGCCTTGGGGTTTAGTCATGCCGGCCACATGACCACGGAAACGTCTTCGGACAGCGCTGGCTCTTCGGCTTTGAAACGGAGATGAGCACCGCAACCCTAGAGTCGGATTCGACTGGCTTTCGAGCAAGGGAACCTTTACCTTTACTTTTTCAGTGTTCAAAGTGCTTTATACGCAATCTTGCTGTATAAACAGCCTTATCAGGTATACCAGTAGTATAATTCCTGTGTGAAAATTTATTGGGTAAAAACTGGGTCACAACTAACGTAAGCTGGCAAAAAACAAAGATGTTACTGAAGCTGAATGGTATTCTCCCAAGAATTCTTAAAAGAACTCAGATATCAATGTGCCTTTAAGTCATAAAGTGTTATTAGATCACTATCAGCTTTTCTTAAAACAAGAAGACTTCAAGTGTAACACCATTTTTTCTTTCCTTTAAAATAAAAGGATCGAGGAAATTACAGACCTGTCAGTCTAAGTTCTGCCTCTGCTCTGAAAAATGGAAAGAACTCATTATTACAGATAGAATTGATACCCATTTAGAAGAACAAGCTTTGCCTCAGGAAGAATGGCATGGCTTCCCCAGATGGAAGTCTGAGTGGCTGTTTTTCAATCAGATGACACCAACACTGCAAGCCCCCTAGTGCTGTTTGACTACTAAAGGCCTTCAAGTTTCAAGTAAATTGGACCAAGGGGTCCAGTTCTACAAGCCCCTGAACAAGGTACCCCTAAACCATTCTTGTAGGGGTGAAAACTGAAAGGAAAAAACAGCCCTGGAAAAGTGTCCCGCCCCACAAGAGAGGGAGGGAGAAGGAGCCAGCCAGACCTGCAGTTGGTCCTGGCTTGCACCAGCAATGAGCTGCCTTCTCTCGAATAGACAAGACTCATGCCAGCTGGGAACTGCCTTCCCTAGGCTGGATGAAATGCCTCCCTCCCCACTTGCTCCCCCAGCCCAGGAAGCTTGTTAAAGAAGGAAAAAACCCAGCCTGGTATCCTTAAAATGATGGCCCAAGATATTCCCAAATATTTCTGGAAATATATGGGACCCAGATACCGGTATTCCAAGAATACCAAATGCCGAAATGTTTTTGGATCAGATATATCCAAGCACATATCCCTAATAACTTTGACTGAAGATACTTGTATATTAGTCTCAAAAATCTAAGCATCTTACAGAGAATTCTAGGGCACTTCCTAGTTTATTTTTGTAGGGCGCCAGCCAGGACTAATTATTGTTCCACATCAACTGAGAGCACTATAGATTGCAACCACACTAGTTATTTGTTGCTGGGAAAGGTCTTTTGGGAAGCTTGTTCACTGTTACTTGTGTTTTTATCAAATGCTGACACATACACTGAAGAAGAAGAAGAAGAAGAAGAAGAAGAAGAAGAAGAAGAAGAAGAAGAAGAAGAAGAAGAAGAAGAAGAAGAAGAAGAAGAAGAAGAAGAAG